CTGAACTAACATCATAAGAATTGTATAGCTGACAGTAAGGAGAATTCATGATAAGTTCTTGGGAGTGGAGGGAACAATTAATATGACTTGTCTCTGTAACAAAGTCACAAAGCTTACCAGTTTCTGAAATTCTTCCCATGATTTAACTTGGTTGTTTGACATGTACAAAACCTTGAATATTAAAAAAGATGAATAAAGCTCAACATTAAAATAGAAAACAGTGGATTAACATTTTATCCTTGATCAAGGATACTTTCATCCTCCACTTTCTTTCAGTATGTTTGGTTTTAAAAGATCACTGGCTATTTTCATTAGGGTGCAAAATCTTCAGTTGAGTAAAATCACAATATGTTCATGTAAACTGTAACATATGATATAGGATGTTCTACTGGGGCTGAAAGTGCAAAACTTTCTATAAAGGGCAAGCAACTTAATTTCCATCACGTGGATAACTAAAACTCAACAGTATAGTTACTCAACACATAGTAACAGTATAGTAGTATAGTTACTCAACACATATTTACAAGTACCTTGATTCTCCAAATATAGATACCAAAGTAATAGGGCATAACAATTAAAACAAATTCTGCATTCTGATTGGCTTTTTGATCAAGGTTCTCACTAGAAGTTTGTACAGTCATTGCTCAACATATAGTAACAGTATAGTAGTATAGTTACTCAACACATATTTACAAGTACCTTGATTCTCCAAATATAGATACCAAAGTAATAGGGCATAACAATTAAAACAAATTCTGCATTCTGATTGGCTTTTTGATCAAGGTTCTCACTAGAAGTTTGTACAGTCATTGCTTGCTACTTTCACACATAACACTAAAATACTTGGCCAAAGGTCATGTATCTCGAGCCTGTTGAGCTAAGCTGCTCAAGGCCCTTTGCCTTTGCTTTGCAGCCGTCACTTTTGGGCATGTTGGAAGACAACATCAATGAGAGGCATGGGCTAGAATTTACAACTGCAATATGGCAGCCATATTTCAACATTGGGAAGACATTGGCAAGTATAGCAGTAACTGTTCGATCATTCTTTGGTCTGCTGACAGGCTATTCATTTCAAAAACTAAAACCGAACAACAGTCAATACTAAACTCAGTTACCTTCTCAAAAAGTTGTTCTTTTATTTGCATTAATAGACAAACTGATCTACTGGTCAAAGTGCTTTGACAGCCGTAACACTTGCCAGTGACACCAGGTGTTACAGGTTACGTATGGGTTCAATTCAGAACCCTGTTTGACCAAAAAGTTACTCTACGGTCTTTTACTAACCAACTTTAAAAATCAAGATGGTTGAATTTCAGCTACTGTTTTCTTTAAAATTTTAAACCCTCATTAATTTACATCAGCCCACGAAAATGCCACCTTGACCTCACTCTTAGTCAATATTAAGCAGACACAAGTATGTCAATGTAATGATATCCTTACCTTCAGTTTCTTGAGAACACCAATGCCCTTAAGCTTCTCAATGTTATTGTAGGATATCCAGAGTTCTTCAAGTGTCTCTGCTACAGCTTCCTGGGGAAAACAATGGCAACAAATAACTACAGTTGTAGAAACCTGCTACCTTGAACTTTGATAACTCGTGCTCCTTGCTAACTCAAACAAAATTCAATCTCCCCTGGACCTATTTTACGTTTCCCTTAGGAGTTTGAGTTCAAGGTGTTCTATGATGTACTTCAATAAGCCCTTGGATTTAAAATCCCAAAGAGTACATCTTTTTCACATGGAACCTATCAGTAGCTACCTTCGTGGTTAATAAAAATTCATGAGAAAACAAATATAAAATGGTTTCTTTGAAATTATCCTTTCAGTGTTCATTGTTAGAAAAAAGTACAATAGCAGCCCATGGGTAACATGAATCAGAAAGGCAAAGTCAGAAGACAAATACATTGTAAAATACTCAAAAAAGGTTACTGAGTGTACCTAAGAAAAACATACAGAGTACTCCTCAATTGACCTAGAAGGGAGAATTAAAAGACAATCCTGGCTTTCAAATCAATGGAGTTAATATGAACACAGGCGTCCCAGGCTTGTGTCTTGAGAAAAAAACGAAAGATTATTTCTTGAAAGTATCTTGCGTCGCATGACACTGTATTAAGTTATGTAAGGAACCATTGAGAACTTGAATGGGCAATGAAATATGGTTCATTCATAGCACTAAGTATTTCAAAATATGAACATTTTACACTTAAGATTGATAAGACTGACTCACTTCTTGCGTGTCCATTTTGTTTTTAGTGATTTCCACTGTTTTAGGCTTGCTTTGCCATCACTATTTTTCCTGTTATCAGACTAAGTCAAGGCTGCACAATTTTGACCATTGTCCATGCAGAGGTGGTTTGCTCCTGGAAAATTCATCTATTTGGCAATTTTTTTACCCACAGCTTGCAATCCAAGATCATTGCACCCTGGAAGGTGTCTCAATTCCAAAAATCTCTGTACTGTATGCTGAAAACGAGCCTTTTCTATCATCATTTCCAGGTTTGTGCCTTTGACATACAGATGGGACAGGACTGCACAAGAGGCTTGGGTCTAAAGTAAATTTTTTCTCCAGTGCAAGTGCTATGGTCAATTTATGTACAATACTTATCCCATTCCCTCAGTGAAAGTGAATAGAGATTTAGCAATGAGTTTACATGAAATGTGATCATTCATTACAGCCAATTTCAGGTGGCAAAATATTTCACCTCCTTTCCATGAATTTATAAAGCAATATATGTGTAGGAAAATAACATATGTATGGGATTCCATTCCTCCTAAATATCTGAGGTTCACGGTTAAAAAAGATTTGTTCTGTATAAATTCAAGCTATTTGCCCATGATTTGAAAATGCAATAATCAATCCACACAGTTCCCTGAATGAAATCTATGGTTTTCCACCTTTGTTTACTCTTTTGGGATTCACTGTATCTCTTACACTGGGTGCTAGAGGGTATTTTTCTTTTTAGCAGCGAAACGACCTCACCAATGATTGTGGCTAAAAAAGACAAACCCTCTAACAACCAGGACATTCATCTCTTCATCTCCGATAGCATTTTAGCAAAATTGCAAACCAAGTGGAATGTAATTGAATTTAATCCATTGGTTACTGACTTTAACTGTTAAAGTGTCACCTTTAACAGACTAACGCGAGGTGTCACTGTGGGAATGGGGTAAGTATTGTACATAAATCGACCATACCAATTGCCGCAGAGAGAAAATTGACCTTAGACCCAGGCCTCTTGTGTGGTCGTGTCCAGTCTGTACATCAAAGGCACAGGCAGACAGAAACGAACTTGGAAATGATATGGTAGAAAACGCTAGTTTTCAGAGTAGAGTGCAGAGATTTTTAGTATTGAGACACTTTCCAGTGTGCAATGATCTTGGAATGTAAGCTGTGGGTAAAAAAATTGCTGAATAGATGGATTTTCTCGGCACAATCCACCTCTGCGTGGACAACAGTCAAAATCGTAGTGTGCAGCTTGACTTCATCCTATAATAGGAAAAACAGTGATGGCAAAGCTAGCCCAAAACAGCAAAAAATTGCCAAAAAAACACAACAGACACACAAGAATTGAGTCAGTTTTATCAATCTGAAGTGTAAAATGTCCATATTTGGAATATTTAGTGTTGTAAATGGACCACATTTCGTTGCACATACTATTCTTTATAATGCATTCAAATTCTCAACGGTTCCTCAGGTAACTTAAGACTGAGTCACAAAACACATGACACTTTCAAGAGATAATCTTTCAGTTTTTCTTGAGATATGAGCTTGGGACACCTGTGATATGAAGGCCTAAAGAAACCAAACACATCTCTTTGACACAACATAGTCAAAATAACTGATTTGCTTCAGTTCACTTACCAAGCCATTAAGGTTTTTAATGTTATTTCTTCCTAGTGACAGAATTTTCAGATTCCCTTCAAAGAAATAAACAAGGCAAAATTTAATTGGTTATTTTAAAACTATTTTTGAAGGAAATACCTAACTTGCAGTCATCATTGTTTGGGAAAAAAGAGCACAGTTTGTGTAAAACACCCCTGACATCTACTATAATTCTTTATCTAAACCTTTCAGTTATCAACACTGTTAAACAATTTGAAAACATCACTCAGGACAACTAACATCCACTACGCCTTGGTGCAATCTCCAAACAACTTTAATAAAAACCCACACAAACATGAAGGGCTATTCAGCTTTGGAGCTATAAAGTAGAGCTAGTAGATCTCATAACTTTTTGTCAAAATTACATTTACATGACTTGTATAATCATTCAGTTCTAAACCAGACCAACAGCCTGTCCTTTAAAACAGAGGTGTATTTTTGGCACAGACATGCACACAGCTAAAAGGTTGGGAAATAATTCCACAGATCATTCAGCAAAGAAGTTAGGGTAATTTACTCCACATTAGAGTTAGATTGTCTAAAATTTACCCTGGAGTCTACCCTAGTAAGATTGGATAGAGAGAACAAAATAGACCAAAACAATGGGATGTTTCATATGTTCAATGTTGACATCTGCACCACAGCAATCCTAACATTCAAAATTACTTGAATTTGGTGTCAAGTCATTTTTATGCATGACTTAAGTTCAGAGTATTCACTGTATTTCTGAAGGTTTCCACATTACAGTGTCCAAAAAGCTAACACAGTGATTCCAATGCCAACTACAGATGTGAGATCATACAAAATCATGTAGCAATATAAATATTTGTTATGGAACAATTTGCCCATAATGTGAAATGATCTGACTTCTTTGTGAAAATTTGTGACCATCATGTGGAAGAATCTGACTCAAAATATGGTATGACCACAGAACTGAATGAATAAATACCACAAATAGTTGAAAGATCTGAGCTCTGAGCCAACATATTGCTAATATTTTCCCATTACCAAGAATAAATACACGATAAATAGTGTTTAACACGAAAATTTTCTTGGAAGTTACAAGAAATTGTTTTTCATCCATATTATTTTCAAAATTTTTCCAGCACCCTGTCAGACACCCAGCTGAACACCCTGCTGAAGAATAACTCCCTTATGTCTTAGTACATGGCCAATAATTATCAAAGAACTGCACTAATTACTTAACTGTATGAAAATATGTATCAAACTACCAATTTAACATTTAAAAAAACGATCAACATGACCATTATGGAACAGGAAAAAAGAATAATTGCAAATGCACTTACGTAAACCATTAAGGTTGGCAATTTTCTCAATGCAGTTTGTGGATAAGGACAGTTTCCTGCAAGTTGAGCAAAATCATCACTGTAACTGAGAATCCGAGTTAATGTAATATTATCTGCATATGACAGTGACAACTTACATACAATGTAAAAGCTGCAACCCAGTGGTTAAAAAAATAAATCAAAAGCCTTCAGCTAATACTGGAATGAAACAATATTTTTACATTTGTGCGTAACACTTCATTTTGATTACACTGATTGTGCTGAAAATCAAAAGAGCAACAAAAGCTGTTTTTAATTTATCCTGGACAGATTAGGATTAAGCAAAGGACATGTGTACTGCATGTTCTCCAACTAAGACAATGGACAATTTACATGCATATATTGTTTAAGGTGAATTGTCCCTTGCCCAGGTATGGCCAAGTGGTGCTGTGTAAAAGACTCACCCTACATTAAGCAGTCAGTTGTCAAAGACTCCAAATTTTTACACTCTAATTACTGTAATTTTAATAATAATTACTGTAATTTTAATAATAATAAGCGGTCACTTCTATTAGGGCATTGTAGCCACCTTTTACCAAGTCACAACAACCTTTTTGCATTGTCCTCCACCTGTACTGAATGGTCACTTGTGGTGAAACCACTCAAGTAAGATTAATATATCAAGTAAACTTGATCCATGTTTTCTCCCAAGCAAATTTTTGAGTGGTCAATTATGGCATAAAATAACAATATTCACTGTTTCTTGAAATACCCCTATTCTGTTGAATCTGTATTAGTGGTCATTGCACCATTGCCTGTGGGTGACTGCTGATAAAGGTTTGAATATAATCCCTTATTTTACTTCCTTCTTCTGATAATTTGTTACCTAATAAACCTTCACTAAGAAGCTTAAAACTAACATCAGAATACAAGCATACTTACACACAGTTTGTAAGAGTAGACAAGGACGCATCCATCTTCTCTATTGGAGGATACTGTGCATATAGTTTGACTTCCTCTGATTCTGATGCTTTTTTCTCATGTTTCTGTTCCTGTTTATTACATACACAATTCATAATTAAATTCTTGGATAACTGACATTATGCCAAAATACCACTGACTTCCCATCTTCTCTCCTCACATAATTTGGATTTTAAATAATGATACTAACTTAAAATTTATTCAAATTTTTTGATGAAATACTTGGGGAAAAAAAAACTGAACATTCTGCCATGTCAAAGTACCATGGCACTTTCTGGCTGTGCAATGAACTCGGAATTCTAAAGGTGAAAGTCAGATTTTAACCTTGTCATTTAATACCAAGCTTATCAAATAATCACAAAATGATGTTGTGCTATTTTCAAAGAAAAATACACAGGGTGTGTGTGAAGAAAACAGTACTTACTTTGTTACAAATCCTTCTACTTCAAGTTCGCAATCGCTGTATTTCGATTGATGTCTAACCAAATAAATTATGCAACTTACAACTTACCCATTTTGCCAAAGCATCCTTGATTGTTGTTCCCTTGGACTAAGAGAAAACAGAGAAAAAGTTTTTTATGAATTACTTTTCAAAATGGAAGTTTTTTTTTTAATCGAGATAGTACGTACCATTTCTGATAAGGTGCCTGGGAATGAATATCAATCTGTTGGGGCTCTTTTACCTTTCTCGCAGAAACTCAAAATGGTGGATCACTATGGGAACAAGAAAAATTCGCTCACAAAGCATGATGGGGCGAAAGGAGTGAAGACCAATCAGAGGAGAGAAGTAAGAATATGGCGGTCGATTAATGTTTAGTGGAAATACAGAACTCTTGGAAAAGAACTGCTGCGATTCTGGAAAAGGATAAAATTGGAGACTCTGCTGTCGATATCAAGCGGAGCATTTGGCACATACTCTCATCGTCCTTATCATCAAGCACAAGCAGCTTTTGCTGGACAAGTACAGTGAAGACAATGATAGCCCTTGCAATGTTTGTTGGAAGAGATCTTCTAGTTTCAACAATCCTTTATGTTCTTGAAGAGTCTTTGGTCGTTGTGCCGAGAAACCTCAGGTTTAGGAAATATACAAATTTCCCAAGAGTATGTGGGGGTTCATCAGACGTCATAGAGTGTCACCATTGAAATCGCTGGTATCAATTCTCTTAAAATGGGGAGACGACAAAACGCGGAGCCCTATTCCATGGAGTACATGTACCCTATGGAGTACCTAAATGGAGTACCCCTAAAAGTTATGTATTGGTCAAATAAAATACTTCATAAACATGGTAAATCATATAGATGTACATATCTTTAGTTAATACAATTTGATATTGCCAGCTCTCCGATTGTCACAGTTCAAATTGTTACGATTGTCACAGTGACTGTCCAGTTTTTAGGGGAGAAGGATTTGACGGCCCTCTCAACCAAAGAAGCCATGAGCAACTGTACTTTGGGAAATGAGTATTTTCTGTGAAAATAGCCTTATCGCCGCTCGCACTTGCCTCGCATTTTGAAGAGAAAAATAAACATGAGGTAACTGTGAGTTAGTTCAACAGTACTTTGAGCAGGAGAAGCGGTTCATTGTCTGAAAGCGATTTTCAGTCATCAGTAGTCCGCGTGGAGACGTAGCCCTAAGCCTATGATCCATTTATAAGATTTTCCCGAAGAATGTACGAGCTCCGAATATATGTTCCGATGATTAACCGAAAACTATCCGAGGGTCTCCGAAGTTACCCGGAGATCCTCGAGGAACAATCAAACCCCGGTTTCACTTGTTTTTTTATCGACTTTTTTATTTCATCTTTTGTTTATTTTTAATTATTAACTTATCTATTTTTTAACGGCCGTGAAACTAAATAATAAAGAGCAAATCATTCGTGAAATTATAGGTTAACATGGTCAGCGTCCCTTTAATCGGATCTCGATTATTCATTAAAAGGGTACAAAGAAAATATAGCAATGCCTTCGCTCCGACGAAGGGCTAACGCTCGAAACGTCAGCTTTTATAACCGTAACGGTGGCCAATTTACCATTTCAACTTTGTTGATATATTCAAATTATTTCGTTACCCCCACCGACTCAGCGCCAAACAGTTTCTTTAGACTATCAGCCTTTTTAGCAATGCCTTAGTCAGTCTGCCATTTTTTCAATTACAATTCCGGGAAAGCACTGCTTAAAGAAAGCGATAAGCTCTTCCGTTAGAGACAGGCCTCCCTCAGTTCTCCTCCACAGACCTTGCAAGTGGCCTGTATACCAGGGACGACGTGTGCACAGACATGCTGTGTTAATGTGGTAGTATCTTCTTTGTGATGTTCCTAACTTCCAACATTTTGTGCCATCTAAGTACAGATTTGGATACCAGTCCACCTCTAAGCGTCCAATGACTGCCACGCTATCAACAGGTTGAGAGTCTTTTTGAAAGCTTCCTTCACATCCGTTACATTTTGAGATGTTTCCTTTTAGCTGCATTTGAAAGAAAGGATTAGAAGATTCAGGAATGATGGGTTTCGGCGGTAAGGAAAACCTTGGGGCACGGATGGTTGGAGTGGACGCATACCGCTAAGCGAATGCTGCTGCGTAGAAGGCCGGCGAAAGCCTTTGGCTAAACATAGATGTCGCAAATGACTGTGGCAACGGCCCTGGGTACCCAAAAGGATGACTTTGGCCAGCCCCTCCCATTGCTGTGGCCACGTGAGACACCTTGCTGGTCAGGGCAAAAGTCTGATGCTGTGGCCGTAGATCTGATATTTTTATTCAAAATTCAAGTTATTAATTCAAGTTTAACTAAAAAATAATAATTTCGTGATCAATTTTTAGACAATGGCGTCACTAGCGTATTTTACTGCGTTTTACTGCGTATTTTACTGCAAGGCCTGCGTTTTCGATCTTTCTTTGTTCTTCGGATGAGGAAATAAGAGTGGGATATCGGGGTAGTTATGTGTCCAACCGGAAACAAACTGATTTGAATTTACCCAATATCCATCCACTTGGCTAAGACAAAATTCACCATCAAAAATTCCGTGCAACTAACATAAAAATAGATTCTTCAGCGTTTTCTTAATTCCTGATAGGTGTTCGACCATGTTCATGGGGGTTCGATTGTTCCTCAGGCCGGATCCTCGAGTAACTTCGGAGTATGTGCACAGCTCGTACACAACTCGGAAAATCTTCGGAGTTGTTTTAAATTAAAGACAGGCCTTGAAAACCTCAGGGATCTTCGAGTAACTTCGAAAACTTTCAGATAATCTTTGGTTAATCTTCGAGTTTATTCGGAGCAGGTACGCTCTTCGGAAAGGTAAGCTGGAAAACCTGGAAGGTCTGTTGAGGAGGAATGAGGGAGGCCTGTCTCTAACGGAAGAGCTTATCGCTTTCGTTAAGCAGTGCTTTCCCGGAATGGAAATTGTGTAAATGGCAGACTGACTAAGGCATTTCTATATTTTCTTTGTACCCTTTTAATGAATAATCGAGATCCAATTAAAGGGACGCTGACCATGTTAACCTATAATTTGATAAATGATTTTCTGTTTATTATTTAGTTTCACGGCCGTTAAAAAATAGATAAGTTAATAATTAAAAATAAACAAAATATGAAATAAAAAAAAGTCGATAAAAAACAAATGAAGCCGGGGATTCGATTGTTCCTCGAGGATCTCCGGGTAACTTCGGAGACCCTCGGATAGTTTTCGGCTAATCCTCCTAGTATATATTCGGAGCTCGTACAGTCTTCGGAAAAATCTTGAAAAAAGAAAAAAGAAGAATTGAAAAAACAAGCCTTCAAAAATTCAGCGCTCTCTGGGTAACTTCGGAAACCATTCGGGGTAGTTAACTGTCCAACCGGAAACAAACTGAT